TTTTTGCAGTGTATATCACTCACTGGCCCTGAAATGCCTCAGAAGACCTGGAGGAAATGTGTGAGGAAAGTCTGGGAGTCGATGCAGAGACTGTTGCCCCTATGACCTGTTCTCAGGTAAAACAGAACACGGAGAGTATTACGAGTAGTTTATTCAAACAAGGATAATGAGCATGCAGCCTGTGGTGATGGTACTAAAGAATCATCTCCTTTCTTGGAATGTGTGCCCCCCTCTTGATTTGCAAAAATTGCAAAGGAAGCAAATCCAGTCAATGGAGAAGAAACGGTTGGGGTACTCTACCTCTGGAAGGTACAGAGAAGGATGAATGGGACTTAATGCAACTGAACTTTATTTAACAATACATTCCATCTCAAGCACAGAGACAGTTCTGTACAGACTAAGTTTAGCAACAAATGTTTTTATATCAAACATTTCTTTTTTTTCCTGCTTTTTATTGTCATTACACTGTCACAAGTACAGAGCAACGAAAATCATTCTCTGCATTTAACCGTCCCTTTGGGGAGCAGTGGGCTGCCATTGTGCAGCGCCAGGGAGCAGGGCAGTCTGTGGGAGTGGAGCTCGAACTCTGAACCTTTGGATTCCAAGTGCAATGCCCCAACCTCTAGGCCGCAACTCCCGTACCCACTGTGTGCTTTAAAAAGCTTTGGATATCTAAAAATATATAAAATGTAGGGGTCTGTTAAGAACCAGAACTCTGCAATCACTCACCACAGTCAGGAGCAACGCAGCTTCTAGTTCGGATGTTCAAGCCTTCACACGGGGCTCCTCCATATAGGCTGGGCTGCAGAACCGTCCTGGTAGAGCTTTGGTGGCCGGTGCCACAGCTAGCCGAGCACGGACTCCATGGCAACCAGCTGGACCACTGACAGGCCACTGGACCGGAACCAAGAAAACAAAACGAAACAAGTTTAGAGCACTTTTTTTTAGGTCAAAAGTCATTTTTACCAAAGATAAAAGCAAAATCTGCAACTTTTGAGAAATCTTTTAGATTCTAGATTACATTTAAAAAACACAAAAGTCTGGATTTAATAATATCAGGATTTTGAAGCATCTTTAGAATAAAAATTTAGCCTTTTAGCCTGCCTTTAAAAGATGCAATGATAAAGAATAAATCCATTCTGGTATCAAAACAATTTCTACCCTGACGTACATTTAACGTAATAAAAAATTCAGTCATGTTTTCAAATTAATGCATCTTTATCCACTTTTCTCAGGTTCTTTTTATTTAATGGTTAAAACCGCTGAGTCAGCAAGAAATCTCGCCTGCTGGGAGAGATTTTTTTTTTTCTTCCAAGCAATTAATTATGCCTTCTAATCCAGTGTACATCTTCATCCGCTCACTCTTTGATTACAGCAGTAAAACCACACTGCTGTAGTCTGCTTCAGTGAAATGCATCCCAGCGATCGTTAACTACCACATCTGTATGTAAAGGAACGGACACAGAATGAATTTTCCTTCGGCTTTACTCCGACATTAATTCACCTGCTGCAACAAACGAATGAAAACTGTCATCTGAGCAGATTTGCTTGCATGACAAATAAAGCGCTGCCACAATTACACTGAGAAAGCTGTATCCACCTAAATTAAAGCAATTTTTCAACTTCAACACACACTGGGGAGAAAAAGAGGAGAAATAGGACATGCAGTTTAAATCAATAAAAACGCCGGGTGTTTTAGAGAAATAAATTAAGGTAGAGGAAGAGATGGGAACAAAAACCATTTTTCAATCCTTTCTGCCACTTTTATGGAGCATAATTCCAGCATTTGTTGGGTAGCTTTGACCTTGTTTCTATTCCACTTCTGTTAGTTACACCATAATGGGCAAAAGTAAAATGAACAATGCAGATTAGATTAGATTAGGAGCTAAAAAAAAAAAGCTTTATGAGGCTGTTTAAACATCCAGATCCTGCATTCACAGAGTCCTCTCAGACAGGGGCCCAGCTAGAAGGGGGGCCGGAGGGGGCCAAGAGATTTAATTGTTCCCCCACTGATAAATATGATTAATTGGTTTGATTTAATCAGATTGATGGCATATATTTCATATTAAAAAATATGTTTCGGCGACTAAAATGAATGAAGTTTGTGTGGGTTGTGTTTTTGTGTGTTTTCCCTCAACCACCAGGTGGCGCCTGGTTCTCATTGGCCCTCTCACTGACCTGCGGATGGTTGCTTCATTACCGGAGGACTCTTAAGCTAAGACTGCCACTACCTCGACGCCAGAGTGTTTGCCATTTTTGGGAAGTCATCCTGCAAACAGGATGTTTTGGACCTTCTCCCCCCTGGAAGGATTCTCTGAGCTGAAGATTCAAACTGGTGGTTTGGATCTACTTTTCCCCAAGGATTGTTTGGGCTTCTCTCTGAGCAGGGGTTTCATCTCCACATGAAAACGTTCAAGTACAGCAGGAAATCTAAGTGGCAGTCAGCTCCTCCGTTCCTAAAGGAAACACCTCAACCTGGTTAACCCTGTCCGCCCTCCAACGAACAAGTCTATTACTGGAATAACCCACACCAACTGGATTCAACAAATGACACCTTTTTTTTGGAAACTTGAGTCCTGATGCCCTTATTCCCATTTTCAAATCAAAGACACCAATTTCCCACTGAGCCTGAACTAACTGCAGAATCTTCCCCTACACTTTTCAGTCTCGGTTCGCCAGTGTTCAGAGCGGCACTGGATTCCTCTCTACCAACTCACAAATAATCTGTTACAAAAAACAATATCCATCGATGAAAGTAAAGTTTGACCAAGTCAACTTTAAAGTAGTATATTTTCTTTGCTTTAATGAAATCCATAAATTATTCCTTTTGTTGTTGTATTTTAGTTAGTTATAGTCTAAATGTAACATGTAAATTAACCTAAAGTATTCATTATTTTTAGTTGATCATCTTCCATATCATTTTCTTGATCTAATACATTTTAATATTTTTTCCCTAGTAACAATAACTAAATTGTTGATCAAAAACTCACCACCTCTGCACCAAGCAGTTCCTCTCTGAACCACATGGTGGCAGCGGTGATACTCTCAAGGGCATCATCCTAACTATACCTTGACTAACTTTCTCATTTTGAATTGAGAAAGCTTCCTGGAGGGAAAGCGAAACGTCTTCAAACCTTGGAAACCAAGTCCAGTGGATTGTTTTTTACCTTTTACGGAACTTTTACATTTTTAAATTAGTATATTAATGGTAAGTTGACAGAAAACACAGTATCGAATTATTCACATCAATATACAAACATTAAAGACAAGAAATACAGAAATTAGCCTCACAAGTTTTTGTTTTGTTTTTTTGGGAGAAGGCAAAGGTACAGTATGGGTCTCCGTACATCATCTAAGAATCTACTTTATAATTAGATATAAATAACTTTTAAACCAATTTAATGTCTGTATTATTATTGGTATATAAATATCATATGGAACTATAATCGATTAAAGGTATAAAGGAGGGTTTTTATGTAAATGTACAGTAGATAATCACATTTTAATAACTGCGTGTGTAAGACCTCCCTACCTGCTCGTCTTGCATCGGGTGGAAGAATCCCTCAAATAATCTCCTTTTTCCCTTCTTGTTATGAACTTTGCAGCAGTGGAGCTATAATAAACGTGTCAAACTGAAGCTAACTGGATATAAAAACACTAGTGCTGTTAGGTTTCTGTTTCTGTTATGTTTTTCTTTTGAGTATTCTGTCTTTCCTTACTCCTTGATTTCTAGTGTTTGTTTTTCTTTTCACCATGTTTCATTATCCTAGTTATTTGATTCTCATTTTGTTATTTCCAGTCTTCCAGGTTTTTATTTGTTGCTCTCTGCTGCCCTCTTGTGTTCTCCTTCTTCCCTAGCTCTTTCCCTCTTGTTCTGTGCACACCTGT